AAGGCCATGAAGAGGCAGTTAACTTCCGCTTTAATCAAGTTAGAGCAGACCGAAAGAGAATCAAGTATAGAACTAATCATAATCACCCATCTTTCAACCATAAGCACAATCTACCTTAGTGTTTCCGATCTCAAGTATGTCCATAGACCATGGGACCAGAGGGCTGTTCGAATTCTAACTGCTGTAAGTCATACTGGGAACGATTGACGGAAAGACCGGAAAGTAGCTGCTGCCTTGGGATCAGTCCTAGTACACTCAAGCCTCCACTTGACGACGTCTGTAAAGGAGAATTCAGTTCTTAAAAGGGTCTTCTATTTAGGCTCTAGTACTTAGTGAGGGACATTACCTCCCTTTGTTTGCAGGATTCTAGAGCGTGCTTTTCGAGAGGGAAGTAACTCTCGAAGTTAATTACCCGTTAAGAGCCACTTTCTTTTGGTTGGCCACCTTTCTCGCCACCTTCTTTGGGTCCTACGTGGAATACCCAACGATGTGCCTGGACTGTTGCATAACTTGTGATGTGATGATGAAATGCAACACCACGCGCCAGCTATGATCTAGTGAAAGTACAGGGAAAGGGAAAAATACTGTACGAAAATGTAAACATTCTGAGGACACCCCAATGCTTCAGTTAAGAGCAACTCAACAAGGTTCCCTTATTACTCATTATGTTGTTAACCTTCCTTTCTTGGAACTATGCGACCGAGATTTTTTAACAAATTCTGATATTTCATAATTTTGATATTACAAATTGTTTGCGGCCTGAGAAAAACGTAGCTGAAAGCACACATGCGGCAGTATTCGTTAGATATGAGCGCATAGTTGTGATGGCAGCATCGGTAAGGGCGGCTGCAAAGGGAAGGACGGGTAATGTAACATCTCTTTTTCGACTGACTTTTGTGTTACAGTCGAAACATCAGCTGGAAATCGATCAGGCCGACTTGAAGTCTCAGAACACCGAACTCATTGCAAACAATGCCGCTCTTTCTGCAATGAAGCGCAAGGTCGAAAATGAGGTCCAAATCGCAAGAGTGAGTGACTCTCTCTCTCTAGAAATCGATCTTGAACAAACAATTTGATCATGTTTTCAGAACGAACTCGATGAATGTCTCAATGAGCTCAAGGCTTCCGAGGAACGATCGCGCAAAGTACGAACGATTACAATAGTATGAGTAATGCAGTTGCACAGCTACTTTTTAGGCTGCCGCCGACGCTGACCGCCTAGCTGAAGAGGTTCGACAAGAGCAGGAACATGCCGCTCATGTGGATAGACAACGAAAAGGACTTGAACTTACTGCAAAGGAACTACAAGCCAAGATCGAAGACGCCGAGAGGGCTATGCTTCAATGTACTGTGAGAACACTGAATCGTTCCCAGCCCGTCGCTAATTCCATAAATTTCAGTTGGACAAAAAGCCTTGTCCAAGGTAGAAGAGAAAGTACGTCAAGTCACCGCTCAGTACCATGCCGAAACCCGCCGTCACCAGGATGCCATCAAAGGCTTGGCTAAACAGGAACGACGCTCTCGTGAGCTTCAGTTCCAGGTGAATTCCATGCTACCTTCAATCCTACACGCTATCCTTCCATATAACATAACAACTAATTGTGAAATCGTTCACAAAAAAAGCTTTTAAGGAGCAGTTTGCGATAATTCCATTTACCCTTGTAGGGTTTCAGGACGGAAGTATTGATGAAGAATTGTTTATTGGTGGGGGGAGGAAACGAAAAATTCCGCAAAAATTTCGAAATATAAGGCCTCTTTTAACTTCCTATGTACTTACCATTTCTGAGGTTGAACGAACATTTGACCTTTGAGGGTGTATGCACGAGA